TTAGATCGCGCTTAGCCGGAGTACGCAGGAGCGTAGCGTGCCGTATGTGCGGCTCTTCGCGCTCACTTCACATACATTCTCCTGTGAAGTGAGCGCGAAGAGCCGCACGTACGGCACGCTACGCTCCTGCATATTCCGGTTAAGCGCGATCTGATTGATTAACTTTATTCGTTAATAACTCTGTAAATAATGGTCTGAGCCAAAATTGAAAGAGGAACTTTTAGTTCAAAATTTCATTCTCTTTCACACCTTGAAATATTAATTAAGCGTTACGGGACACCCTGTATACTGACAGCCGAATTACAGTTAAAAAAATTTTTCTTTTATTTTATTTTATTATATGATTACATATTTTTATTTTTTAGATTTTAATTTGTGTTTACTTTATTTCGCATTTATTTTCTGTTATATTAATTACAATTACGCAGGTTTATAATTTTTAAAAACACATCTATGAGATTCTAACCTGAGATTCCTAAAACAGCAGACTTATACGCTAACGCTGAGCTAATAATATACTTTGTACAAAGGACTTATTCTTTCCGTATATTATACATATATTCCTTTGCCTCTGACAATGAGTTTTTGCGCCTAAACAAATACTAAAAGCCCACAGTAATAGTTACAAAATCGCACATGATTTTTTCCGGAATACCGAGTCCAGGATAGCCACAAACATGTATAACACAATATGGACACTTTTTTTAAAATATTGAGTCCGATAAGGCTTAGCATAATTACAAACGTACATATAACTTTATACGAACTTGCAATTTAAGACTAGAAAGATATGTAATATTTGTTTCCTGCTGGAGTATTTTGAGCGCCTATACAGCGGCAAGGAGAGACTGGCTGGCGCCGGCGCACAGTGGATCGAACTGCATGAAAATGCGGACATGAGCTCAAAAAATTTTTTGTATCAATCAAGTTTATAATTTCATTTTTGTTACCGTTGGTTACTTGAAATGTCATAGAAATAGTATATAACTCTAATTTTTTTTAAATATTGTTACAACTTATGCGTAAAATAACCATAAACCTTACGAGTTAAACAATTCTGAATTTCTATGAATTTAGTTGTCTATTTTCAAGGTAGTATATTTCTTTTCACTTCGTATATTATCATATCAACTTTTTTACAGCAAATGTATTATCCTTTGGCTTGAAAAAAATCCATATTTGAATAAGAAAATAATATATAATTTACAATTTAACAATTAATTTTATAATATTTCAAAGAAAATCTCGATTATTCAATTATAAATTAATTTTTACAAAAAAGCTTATAAAATCTTAAAGTTTCACTTGTCACATTTTATTAAAGGGACTTTCTATTTCATGAAATGACATTGTTCAGCTGCAATAATTTGCAATCTTGAGAGATACAATTATTTTTTGCAAAAAGGATACCGAAAAAATGTCTTAAATATATATGTTTTAAATTTCAAGAAAAAGTTTCAATATGTGGGGCTCCAAAACGGAGCGCGGAGCTCGGAATTTAATCTATCAGATGTAGCGCGCTGAGTTAGCTGAGCGCATGCGCCATGTCTCGCCATCACTCGCATGGCGCATGCGCTCAGCCGACTCAGCGCGCTACACCTGA